TTACAACTAATAGACACTTACGTCACATGCATAGCGATCAGCTGATTATACATCGATGTCAGCTGGTGGATAGAGACGTTTGAATTAGTTGCTTTGTAGATTCAAGTATAAGATTCCCATCTAGCGTTGTGAAAATCAAGAATAATTTTGATTTCTTTGTTTACGATGTAGAATACATCAGTGTGAATCCAATTGACCTCTTCGACTTTTAATACTGTAGCAAATCATTGCATTTTAATATTTACTATGGTATTTTATAATTAACTAGCTGTTACCCACGGGCTTCAACCAGTTTGACTTCATAAGTATTAATAAAACTATTGATTTGTTAAGTTAAGCTGAAATAAACCATACAAAATGCAGCATTACAAACAAATAATCACACCAGATTTTAATAAGGTAATAAATTGAAATAATAACACACAAATAAGAACAAATGAGGTATTTTTAACATAAGTGTATGGAAAGTTCCCTTTAGAAAGCAATTATGGAAAGGAAAATTTATGAAAAAATGGATAATTTTGCGCAAGGTTTCTCGTGATGACGAACATTTTAAGTATATGGTTTATGGGGGTGTGACTTGTAGTTTTCTCAAAAGTTTATGGGTACTTTGGGATTTGTATATAGATATAAAAAACCTCATATCTGTTACTCTTGTAGAGCTAAAAAGCCACCCCCTTGAAATATCATGTCCCCAGTAAATGTAGTAATTATAAGTTATAAGCTGTCCAAGCTGTATAGCACGACTTACAAGTTATAATTTTGGTATAGCGAGAACTAAAATATGCCTGAATTAGGACATTAAATTCAATAACTAACACTTTAAATAAATATACACGACCAACAAAAATATGCACATTTTTTCTAGACTGCCTGAAATACACAATCAATTCCGACCTAATTATGTAAGTCAGTTAATGAATAGTTGAATTCACCATAAAACCAGAAAACCAAACCATTTACGAAATCGTAAATGCCAAACAGTTAAAAGGCTATCAGTGAATTCCAATGTGTTACGAAACATTGATTTAATTTAACATCCAAACCTGACGATATTTCAACTCACTAACCTGTCTCGGGGGATTCCTCTGTCGATTCTCCTCTCCTAAACTGTATAAGAGAAGGGGCGAAATCGCTCTTCACTTATAATACAACATTCACTGTAATCACTGAATCTAATCAAATTACCATGTGGAATAAACAGGTTATACAAGTTGGTTTGGCTTGGTGTGCGCAGCATAAATGAGTTACCAACAGGGCCGGACTTAGGACTTCAGAGGCCCCGGGCGAATTTGCCGATGGGGCCCCCAGTATGATTATACGATAACAAATACGGTACACAATGTAACGCATATTACATGCACACTAATTTTAAATAGGCAATTTCAAGGTGAATTAATATGTTAACCTGTTAGAATAGTATGCTGTATTTTGCATAAACTAATTTTATGTAATATTTTAAGTCTGAAAATAGCTACAATGTACGGTGTCATGTTATGATTTGTTCTTGTTGTAATTGTATTTATAAAATTTTAATATACCTAGCAGGTACATTACACATTTGTTTGCAATACATTAAAATGTAATATCCTTTGTAACAAATAATTAAAACTATAGATAAAATAACACGTACTTGTAAAAGGTTTAATTTAATTTTTTTAAATACACATTCTATTTGGTGCTTGAATAAAAACACAAATAAAAAATAACTAACATTAATTAATGGAATAAGTTACATTTAAACACGTGATGTAAGTCAGAGATAATGCATAAACTTTTTAAGCTTTAATATATTTTATAACTTACTATAATTTTACTAACAATTCTTTTATTAAGTTTATAAGATACAAGTCAAAACAATTTTAAAGTTTACTTTTTATAGATTAACCATTATAAGGTTTAGAACATAGTTATTTTCCCTATAAATAAATGTCACTTCCCACTCTGATACGTTGGCATGGCAATTAAAACCCCCTTTTCCTACATTTCTTGGCTGCACTAAAACTATAAAACCATAAACTATGACTTATGTTTATTTTCATAGTGGTTTTGGCATGGAATTCTCGTTTGTATATTATGATAAAGTCCTAGCATGAAAAGTACCATTGAACTTTAACGAGATTGAGTTTTTTCTTGACGAGTAAAATGTTACAATACAAGTCTAATAACCAATCACAAGCTAACCATTTATATGAGTAACTGAAAGATGTTTAAATGTATTCAATATCTCAGATTAATACAGCACAAACATAACATTCAATACAACATTAATTTGTTCTTTGTAGTGTTTGCAGAATTATTTTAAAATACAACACAAAAGTACGACAATGTCAACCAAAAAAACACTGGGAGTAAGTGATTTAAATTGTTTTGGATAGGCGATAAGGCATTGTATGCGCGTGCGTGAGACAGACAGGACTAGACAGAATCCCTTATCAGCTCATTATCATTTATTGTTGCATCTGCTTGTTGCTTTTTTACGATTTCAGTCGACAACGCTCGCCCGCTTACAAATAATGTAATTTTTGTTAACATCAGACGACCCTAGTTGTCATAAAATGTCTATATAGATTTTTTATCCTATTGGTGCTGTATGATTTTGACTCTAACGACTAAATTGAAGATCCAAATTTTGACGTATAACTTAATTACTATTTTACAAAACCTTTTAATTGAATGGTTAATATAATACTTCTGCCCCTTAAAATCGTGATTGGCATATACTTAGAGGTAAAAGAATAACATCTAATAAAACATAAACAGAGCAATGTTTTTATTTTTCAAAAGTATTAGAACTCCATTGAATCTCCATTTAACCCAACACAATTGTACAGGTTACGTTCTACGTCAGAACAAGAGTTTTCATATTATTTATTGTATTTTTTGCCCCAAGCGAAGGGGCCCCATTCAACTCGATCGCCGCGGCCGTACGTTTGTGTGAACGGCTTCATTGAAACTCAAACTGGTCCGTCACAGCTAGAGTATGCTAGAGTATGCTCGTGTAAACTAGGTCCAAGCGCGGGGCCCAGTGCAACCCTGAGGAAAAGTCCCTTAGAGTCAAGAATTTAGTGATACCTTAAATTCACCTAACAATAACCTTAAATATAGGATAACGACAATAAAGCTGTTAAAAAAGAAGGCCATTCGGTAAGTGTCTGATTAATTTTCGAAGAAATTAATAAAAACTACTGTGCAAGGGGCCCCTTTCGGGGCCCCCCTAGGCCCGGGGGCCCCGGGCGCTCGCCCCGTCCGCCCCTAGGTAAGTTCGGCCCTGGTTACCAAGTGAAATCGTATGTAACAACGGACTTTGTATGGTTCTGCTTGATTAAAATGTTTACTAATCACAATATTATAAAAAAATAGTGCAGATGTAAACATTGTAGGTAATTTTGGTTGGACGATAAGATTTTACCTCCTTAAAGCTCCAACTCCAATCCCGTTACGTCCATGGGGCGCCCAAAAAATTAAATTACACGAATCGACCAGAATCGACCTATGAGTAGGCTGGGTTAGTGGTATCTTTAGTTCAAATTTCAGCCAAGCCAAGATGGTTCAGAAGCTATCATGTACATTAGAAACAAACACACAAGCAAAACAACAATGCACTGATATATACCAGAAGTTCTCCATAATGAGTTACAATAACAAAGTTATCATACTACAATGTATGAGAAGTTTGTGTGTTTGTTTGAAGTTCGATCACGCATTAGTTACCGTACTGGTTGGATTTGGTTGATATTTGGTATTATGATAGCTCACATTCTCGATTAACATATAGACATATTCTTATCTCAAAAATCCTTTTGGGCTCCGCCCCAGTGGCCTTATAGATTCCCATGATGTTAACCGTATGAGTACTGTATTCATATTTAAAAGGAATTAAAGAATTTTGCCGCTGTTTCAACTAAACAATTTGGTTCTATGATATTCAATAGTATTAAAATGTTATAAGGTTTACTAACAGGGAATTTATGACAACAGCTAATTTGAACCAAGTAGCAACAAAAACCTGAGAACTTTACTTTTTTCTATTGTTTAGGTGCAGTGGTAGAACATTATGACTTGGTAGATGTGCTATTCTATAGTATACCGTAAACAAAATTTTCTTAATTCATTTCCCCTCCCATTACAAACGTAAAGTACGAGTATAACTGAAATAAGTATTTTATTTAAATTCATTGTTAAGCCCCTGAGCTGTATATATTATTGTAAGACTAGATTACTTACGTCAATAGCTCATTGAATTTCATTTAATGTTTTCAGTACATGTTTCGACACATTGTCATCCTCAGCTGAGTACTAGTGAAGTTTTTATTCACCATATGGTTTCGTCAATGTTCAATTAAATAACACGTAACACGAACACGTAACACAAATACGACACGACACGGAACATATACATTTAAAACACGTAAAGCTTTAGACATGCAGGCCTGCTCGAACAAAACACACGGTCACGCCGCGGGTCGGGGACAGACTGACTACTGAGGTCAGTCTGTCCCCGACCCGCGGCGTGACCGTGTGTTTTGTTCGAGCAGGCCTGCATGTCTAAAGCTTTACGTGTTTTAAATGTATATGTTCCGTGTCGTGTCGTATGTGTGTTACGTGTTCGTGTTACGTGTTATTTAATTGAACATTGACGAAACCATATGGTGAATAAAAACTTCACTAGTACTCAGCTGAGGATGACAATGTGTCGAAACATGTACTGAAAACATTAAATGAAATTCAATGAGCTATTGACGTAAGTAATCTAGTCTTACAATAAGTATTTTATACTTATACGCCAACCCTTGTACGAAGGACGGGTACTCTGCTAGTCAAATAATAGGTTAAAATAAGTTTATAAAATAATAATACTACAATATAACACACAAATTGGTTTCAATAGCATGCAAAGCAGTACGGTGTGCTATATATAATTACCATACTGAATATAACTCACCCAGTTTTAAGATTTTTAGTAGAAATATAATTTTAATTTATTATTTTGTTTCCAGTGTTACTTCCCCATCGGCAGATGTGCCGGCTGCTACTGAAACTCCTGTAAGTAGCATTTATTAATTTACTTTATACTTACCTAATCCTAGACAACGTTTACTTACTTTTAAACTAGTATACAATACTTAAAAATAAAAATCAACGGCAGTAGTTTAAAACTCAATGATTGTATGTGATTTATAGATAAAGCTAGTATGTCGTAGTTAATTGCACTGTCACAAATGAAGTGACTTGAATAACCTCAATGCTTGTCTTGACACCAGACATAACCTTAATAGCCTAACAAACCTAACTAGAGTTGTCACCTGGTTGTGCTGTGCCTTAATGATCATATTCTCTCCGTAACAGAAGACAGCTGATTGATTGATTGGTTGTCTGTTGTCAATTATCGACCAGTAGCGACTCTGGTGGCAAGATCAGATGGTAATGAGTCAATCTTGCCTTTCATGGTCCTTTGCTGAGAGGACACTTTTTTCCAAACTTGACAATAGTGATTTTAAAGTATCAGCTGTTTTTGTTAACTTATTAAAAAATTTCATTTTATTTATACTGCAGTGAAAACAGCTGTTTTCAATTTATTTTGGAGGCCTTATGTAGGTCTTTTAGTTTATAGTGTTAGTGTATACAAATAATCAGCAGGAGTCAAGGAAATCAGCTGTGCATTTTTATTACTTTAAAATTGGTTGATGAGTTACTGATTTCTATTATCGATTGGCGATCATTGTTGCATATTGTCAGCTGTTTTGTGATTTGTTTGATTCCACTAGGAGTTTTACATGTATACTCAGCTAACCAGAATCCAATTACAATGGTATTTATAAAGAGTTGTGCTTAACTAGTACTTATTTAATCTAGTAGTACTGTGCTTAACTAGTAGTTAGGTACTCATTTAAAAAATGATTTTGTTTCAGATTTAACTTTTTAACATGATTTGAAATTTTAATCAACCTAGGTTGTGACGATAAATTTCGGCATAGCAAAACAAAAACTGGCTAAATACTGCCCTAATTGCTGGTACATTTTACGTAAGTTCCAAAACTACCAAAGTAACTAGGTATCAAGAGTTTTCAAAATAATCTCATCGATTTGTAAAATAATTATAGGTAGGACCTTTGGAGTTGAGCAAAGATTTTGCTTTGGAAGTCTTATAGCAAGTCCCAGTTTTGATGATAAATATTGGCATTGCACAAACAAAAATTCAGATCTTACCTTAATTACCTTAATTACTTAATTATTACCTTAATTGCTGCTTTCTTTTTTAAATTTCCTACTTGACAAATGGTCAAAAATTAATCTCACGTTTTTCATATACCAGTGACATATCTCACCCCCAGATCTGGTAGATGTGGGCCACAGCACAGGAGGACTGGTATTTCTGGTCCTGTAGTCTGGGCATTCTACCTCGGCTCATTATTATTCAAATTAATTGTCACTACAACTCATTCATCTTAATGGAGTCAATTTTGAGTGTAAAACAGAGGGTGTGGTTAGTGGCTGTCCTTATTTCAGATTTTGATTCGTCATTAAGGAGTGTGCTAAATGTAATAGGTGTAGCTGGGAAGCGAGCTGGTCTAGTGTTTAGAGTGCGGGACTTCGGTTCCAGAGGTCCTGGGTTCAAATCCCGCCAAATCACCAATGGATTTTATCTATGTGATAATGCCGCAAGCCCTAGGTCTATTCTGAAGTAATGTGAAAACCAATTCCGGGCTCGTGCCTAGCGTCTTAGGACAAAAAAAAAATATATATATAGGTGTAGCTTGTGTTTTTTAGGCTTATTTTTCTGGTAGTTCAGATTTTAAAGTAACTTAACTCTGTATTTCTGTCTAGTAACTCTACAGAACACCAGAAATGCAGTAACGTTGTAAGTGTCTAAGTGTCTTACCTGAAGGCGGCAACATCCATGATTATCTCAATAGTCAATACCCGTGACAATTCCTTGCGAACGCTACCACATAAATCTGTGATCATAATTCAACTGCGGCAAAATTCACAATGTTTTCCATTGAGCGTGGCAACTGCCGTGATGATTTGTTGCGATCGCGGAAACGTCCGGTATCCATCATAGTTCCCAGCGAATGCAGTTTTCAACTATGCAAAACGAGAGAGGCCATTCAGTAAGCTTCTAATTAATCTTATTAAGTTATTAAGAAAAACTACTGTGTGAGAGGGACCCCTTGGGCCTGGGGCACCGGGGTGCTCGCCCCGTCTGCCCTTAGGTAAGTTCTGCCCTATTAGAGAGTCAAAAATTAGAAAACCCAATTTTTGCCACATAAAACCCTGTTCCCATGGTATGATCATGTTGGTTCGCAAACTCATTGTAATATGTTTGTACCAAGTTTAATAATAGACTAGTTACACCTATAAAATAGCGGACCAACGAGTAACCATTGGTTTCTGAAGTAAGTCTAAATCTTTGTTTTTTTTATAGGTCTCAGAAACCCAGAACCATGATTCTACCATAGCATCTCCAGACAACTCAGACATGAAACAGCCTGAGGTAAATTATATTTTATAATTTTACATTATATTTAAAAAGTTTTACATCCAATTGTATTAAATACTTCATTATCCTTAGTTAAATACAGTGATTTTACGAGTAAACATAACCTCATACAGAAAACATATTTACATCGATTTACCATTCAATTATCTGCATGCCTCGCTCATTATGATCAATTAATCTTCGTACTTAATTGGCAATCAGCTGAAGCCATCAGCAGTAATTATTGAATGCTTTCACTTTGGCTTAAACTGCAAATAAACAACAATCATTTGCGAGCGGGATTAACCGATTGGAAAACTTGTTCAGTTAAAAATATACTAGTTCTGTTTGGTTTGGCAATTTTTTTGTTGAGCTAAAATAATGAAAATTTGCAAACTAGAAACTTAAAATCCAAAAGAGATCTAAGATAACTAAGATTTGAACTGTTATTTCAAATTTCAAATAGTTATATTTCTAAAAACGTTTGATGATTTTAACCTGGGTCAATTTTCATATCTGGATTAAACTTCATACCTGGGTTATAATTGAAGTTTATGAACAGTTTTTTTTTAGATTTGCCAAATGGGAAATTTACACCGAGTATCATTATCATTTTATAAGTTTTCCTATTTCATTTAATTACTACTTTACAAAGCAATAAAATATTTTGCACATGGATTTAAGATATTAAAAATGTATGAAAAAGGTAATGAAGATTAAACCATTGACTTGAGCTAGCCTACTGAGAAGTACATTGTAAAATATGAAGCACTGACAGTGAATCGACTAAATAATATTTCTCATTTAATTTTAGTGTAGGGGCTTCCACTTTGTGCTTTGCTCTTTGATTATACTAGAGGACAAAGTTTGAAAGTTTTGTGAAAAATAAATAGTTGTACTAAGTTGGTTCTATTAATTTTTTTTAACTTGGTTTAGTTAGAAAAATGAGTTAGAAAACTACAAATCGGCCACTAAAAAATTGTAGGAAATTAATCTAAAAATCACCTTCAGTTAATTGCTCCATAGCATGATAAATCGAAGAGTACAGTATGTTTAGTCTATAAAAACACACTCCCTTGTTGATTTAAGCAAACTTTTTGTTGATGCACTTTTCAATTATCACTTGTCTTCTCGTATTTTTATGTGTACTCTGTAAATCTTCTAAAGTAAAAGAAAAACATTTCGGTCCACTTGAGTAGGCAAACACATACCTACTTAAATTGACTTGAAACACACATACAAATTAAATAAACTTATTCGTCAGTAGGATGAATAGTTTAATTGTAATTCAAAGTCAATTAAATTAATGGTCAATTGTTTGGCTTGGGACAATAAATGATCAGAACCTCTGATGTAGTTGACCATGACCTGAATGTTCCCCTAGTGATATAACCAGCCTGGGAAAACCTGTCTGTAGGTCATCAATATGTGGGGGGGGGGGGCACACATAAACATTAGAAGAAAATATGTAAAATGTTTTTATTTGTAAGAAATACAGAGTTTTTTATGCAACCCAAGTTATTAAAACTGTGGACAAAACTAGCTCATAATTAGGTGTTCCTGTTTTCTTCACTTTATTGCTATTCAGCTGATATGCATTGTTGTATCGTTGTCTACAAGGTTTAGTCTAATTGGGAATTTATTGTGTATAAAATTCAACATGGTATGTATTCACAAGCTCAAAGATTATATGTACTGTAGAAGAATACATCATAATAAATCATTAGCATAGATGAAACATACTCCCTTAGTAGATTTCTCATCCTTATGGAACAGCTGAAGACAATTTTATTTTTAGTTCTGTACGGTTTATGTAGAGGTCGTGTTTTGTTTACAATTTGTTTCCCGTTATTACAGCCATTTAAAACCTCGTTTAACCAAATAATACGATCTAATCATAAACAATAACTTGTCCCCTAGTTATATAACCAAACAGTAAAGCACAAATCAAGAAATTAACTCTAAAATAATAGAAACAAAGTTTCGTTGACACTAGCGCCCATGTGTCACGTACATGAACTAGACATGAAAACGTGCTTCAAAATTTACAATGGGATGAGAAGTCTACTTGTGTTGGTTAGTCTATGTCATTAGTTTCATGCAAAGAAAGGTTTGAAATTATTTGTCCAGGTGTGATTTCAGTACAAAATAAATCAACTATTTATAGACTTCTTAAACATTACACACCTGTAACACACCTGTAACACAACAAACCAATATCACACAACACAGTTTAAATAGCAATTATCATCATCTTTACTTGGTTAAAAAGTAAGCATATTGGACAGAAATTAATAATTTAATTCAGCTTAAATATGTCTTTGGCTTACCTTAACTACGCCCACTATGATTTAAAAACTTAAAAACTTCAGACAACTTTAAAATGGGGATGGAAAGGTGTAGTTCTGTCAATACTCTAAACTCACTACTGATGCTCTAATTAAAATCAACTCAAAAGCTCTGTGATTTATTGTTATGATGTATATTAAGCTTTTGAACATTACATAGATTACAAAAGTTTACACTGGCTTGACTCTCTCATACCACCGATTTAAATGCATAATGTAAATACACGAGTGATTAGATGAAACAAGAGAATATGGATATCAGAAGGTGTCAAACAGAATGTTTTATCAGATAACATGGATGTATTCACAAAGAAGTCTGTGACAATGAGAGGTGTATAAGTGATTAGTGAGAGAGTGAGAGATATAGATTTATCAGTGAGAGCGAGACAGGCATAGTTGTGCTGCCAACGTGATAAGCCTTAACTCCCTTGACTCACAGCAACACAATATGTCAGAATGTTTTATGATTACACAGATGTATTCAATTCACAAAGAAGTCTGTGACAGTGAGATAAATGTATCAGTGAGAGTGAGAGAGACGGATGTATCAGTGAGAGTGAGAGAGGCATAGTTGTGCTGCCAATGTGATAAGCCTTATCAACTCCCTTGACTCACAGCAACACAATATGTCAGAATGTTTTATGATTACACAGATGTATTCACAAAGAAGTCTGTGACAGCGAGATAAATGTATCAGTGAGAGTGAGAGAGACGGATGTATCAGTGAGAGTGAGAGAGGCATAGTTGTGCTGCCAATGTGATAAGCCTTATCAACTCCCTTGACTCACAGCAACACAATATGTCAGAATGTTTTATGATTACACAGATGTATTCAATTCACAAAGAAGTCTGTGACAGTGAGATAAATGTATCAGTGAGAGTGAGAGAGACGGATGTATCAGTGAGAGTGAGAGAGGCATAGTTGTGCTGCCAATGTGATAAGCCTTATCAACTCCCTTGACTCACAGCAACACAATATGTCAGAATGTTTTATGATTACACAGATGTATTCACAAAGAAGTCTGTGACAGCGAGATAGATGTATCAGTGAGTGTGAGAGAGACTGGTATCAGTGAGAGTGAGAGAGGCACAGTTGTGCTGCCAATGTGATAAGCCTTATCAACTCCCTTGACTCACAGCAACACTCCATGTCACATTGAACTCATAATAGTGAAAGTTATGTTGAATGTAAAACAATTTATCCACTTCCCTTAAGAGTTGTTCACCAAATGGAGCACAATGGCTCTCAAAAGAGGTTAGTGAAGTGGCTTTTGTCTAGAAAATAACCTTCCAAGTGATATTACTTTGTGGTGGTTTGATCTATTTTAATGGCTGTTACACAGATGGTTTTTACTTTGTGTTTGAAACGTTTTCATATAAGGTATGAGTGAAATGCTATGTTATTATTTGGCCAGGTTTGAAAAGGGGGCTTTCATTTTAGTGAATTTCCCATATAGGTTTAAGCTATCATTGATTATTGTGTTTTGATGGATGATCCTAACAGAGTTATTCGTTATTCGACCATTCAACCATTCCTCATTACTCACCCAGGTATTTTCATTAAGCTTAAAATATTTAATAAGCTACATTTTATGGTTTCAGTGTTTACTGTTTTCTGATTCAACTCCCAAATATTCATTTACTCTTAAAACAGGGCTCGGTTTTAGGAGAAAAGCAATGAGAAATATTTCTATCTTTAGAAAAAATTTGATTTGAAATAAAAAAAGGTTTGAAGACAGAGTACAACATAACTACTGATGCTGTTTATTTTACAGATTTCTTTTTAGGGATATTTATAGCTCCAACAATTAGGTTTTAGTTCCATTTTTAAAGTAAAGTAGCAATAGTGAGTACAACGACTATCCACAGTACTATGCTGATAATTAGACCAATTCGTTAATTACAAGGCAAAAATGAGGTACGGATTCCACTATAAACTGTAGGTCCCTTAGTTGCCATTGGCTATATGCGATTAATTAACAGCTATGTCTAAGGAACATGTCGGCCTTAGTCACTAACAAGACTACAAGATCATGCCACTCATCCTACACTCGTCTCCATTCATACTTGGCTTAAAGGTACCTACATTCGTATGGTCGCCATTTCATATGAAAGTATTAAAGTATTATCGTAAACTCTATACATCAAGCTTTTTACTACTTAAAAGTAAGTATTTATTAGCCCCATAGTTATAGTTTCAAACTTAGAGAAGTAAGGTACAGAGGAAACATTTAATTAATGGTGCACCAAAGTGGTGTCTAGGGCAAAATGCACCCCCTCCCCCCTACAATGCTCATGGTGGAGGAAGACCCTGTGCCCTGTACAAAAGGATTTTTTACACAGCGCTTGCCACCCAGGCTCTTCCTTGATCATCAAACCTATATTTCCGTCATAGCTTAATAGAGCTAAAATCGCACGGTGTGGTCCCATAAGCAATTAAGTTTTCTCTTTACTTAACTTGTCTGTGAAGAATCCCAATGGATGGAAAGGGGTATTTACACCAAATAAATTCTTTAAAAAAAAAAACTAATTGTAAACTGTAGAAGAAAATAAAGAACCAATCTCGGTGTGTCGTGACTGAAAGAAAAATGATTGGATGCTAATATAGGAGCAGCTGATGATAGATGAGGCTGCAATCTGTCGTAATGACAGTGAACTTGTGATTGCTTAATGACACCTCTCTCCCTTCTTCTCTCCCTGTCTCCTCCCCTACTCATGGTTACATCTTGATCATCTGGAATTACAAACACCTCTTATCGTAGTCGATTCATTGGTTTCATTAAGTTTATTGGTGTAGGCTTTGCTGCAAGATAACTGTAATATTCGGTGACCTTGGGAGATACTGTTATGTTTGGTTTTAAAGTGAGTTAGTACTCTGGTGAAGTACTAATTGCTATTTTGGTATCGGTGGAATACTGGGAGCAAGATTGTATTCTTTTGAGTGGGAATACTTTCAGTTGTATCAACAATATTGAGGAATAATTATTAATATTATCTTCAAATTTGTTTCACAATTTGAGTGTCTGACCTTTGTGTCATATCTATCTCACAGATATTGCTATTATTTGAGTTGACAAGAATTTATATATCGATGCAAATTGTTCCTAAAATACAGGTTACCTTCAAGGTTCATGGTACTGTAGAGTGTAGACAATTGACTCTGGAAACTTATTAGTAAGGTATAAAATCTTAGAGTACAGAAATACCCATAAAGTTCTCTCTAATGGGTATAATACACAATAATAATATTAAATTAAAGAAATATTTTACACTTGTCTCAATCTCTCAGAAAGAAATAAAATTAACATACCGTTTTTTCTTGGACTTTGTGGATATTCAAAAGTATTATTTACTGTTTCTGCCTTTTAAGATCTTTGTTACTTAATCAATTAGAGTCAAACCGCCAAGTAGATCCTACATTGAAAGTCTTTTGACTCGTTCCCCCTTAAAACAAAATAATAGCAAGTGACCTAAATCCAAAATCAATTACAAATTTTCAAAATCATCCCCAAAATTAATGTGGGCCTACATTGAAAGTCCCTTGACTTGTTTCCCCCTTAAATCAACCCTTAAAACAAATTTTCAAAATCATCCCCAAGCTATATCCTTTATTGCTTTTCGCTACTCTATGGGTCCCCATGTTATTGATCCAGTTTTATAACAGTTATTGTTGCCAAGGTTTATTCTGTCACTGTCATCATCATGTGACCTGTTGCAGGTGCAGGAAGGCTCCATGATGAGGAGGACCAACTCAGACGTAGGTGCGGGAGGGTTGGCGTCCGTTTGTGCTCTGACTGCCTCTAACTCCTTCCCTTCCCTCTCCGACACTGTGCTGCGACAGCTGGGTGCTCTCATGGACGAGGTCAGGCAGAGCAAGGAGTGAGTATACTTCAGTAGCTATGAGAATGTAATCACAGTTAAAATATAAGCAAGGATAACCTGTCACAATTTAATTGCAAACCTAGACTCTTCATTGTGTTTTAAATTACAGTCGTGATTTTTCTACAGTTGTACGGTTGGGAGGTGAATTTTTTGGGCTTAACTCACTTTTCTGTTGTTCTAGGACTTGTCAAATACGATTTTATACACAAAGACGCAATCGTCCTAGAAAACAAAATCAGAATTTCAACAAAATCAGAAAAATTTCCTGTGATTGTGAAAGTCATACTTTGTTTTCTAAGGTTTTTGTTTTTTCTGTGTTTTCTCTCTTATGTATTCCTAAAGAGTTCTGGAAAAACTTAAATCTAAGCACAGAAAACAAAACATACTACATCCTTAAGTAGTATGTTTTCTGTGGTCTAAGGTGAGTGAAGCCCAATAAATACACCCGTCAGACTCTTCAATTTTGAATAGAATAATTATTCCATGACCTCTAAGTTTATTTTGTGAGAGTAACTAGTTAAAATCAAGAAATAATAAGTTTTTCCTACAGTATTAAATAGTTTGTGTTTAAAATATATCCTCGATACCGATAGCAACAACTATTCCCCTCACCCTCCAACAATTATTAATTTATGATTTTGTTATGAAAGTACTTAAGGTAAATTTCTTTCAAACGAATTAATTACTTTTTAAACTATAAAACAGATAAAAATGTATATCTAATATCAATGATTTTATTTCAGGGAAAACCAAAGTACAGAAACTGATATAGAGGTAAGAACTGAAATTATAAGTAGTTTGTAGAATATTTCAACAATTGCGTAAATCATAAGAAATTAAATTCTTAAAAAAACTTCTAGGCTTAATAAGTCTTCATACTACTTGGCACAATGCCTTAATTGCCATTATGTGAAACTGCATACAATTAAGTATTATGTAACAAAGCAAATAGTTACTGTAATGCTAATTATAATTTTTGTAAGAATAACACCATGATGACTAAGCTGGAATTTGATCGTTTGATCAGTCCCAATTAAATATACAGTAATCAGCAATCAATGTCCACAGTTCTTGATCGTTTTATTGGAATCGGTATAAAACATTGCATGGTAAACAGTTTTATGATTAACATGGTATGTGTAATGATTGGAAAAATCCATAGTTTTGAGAATTTAACAGTTTTAACATATTATTTTAAGGTTACAGTTTTCTTTCAGCAAACATTGTTTTTTAACATACCATCAATTTTTGGTTGTATTTTTTCGCCTCTCTAGTTGAAAATATATTTTTTTAATATACTAATATGAAAATTAGGTAAGCTTTAGTTAACAACTCTGATATCAGCCAGTAACAATCGTATCAGGTAAGTTTTTTTTTTAGTACAATATTTTGCAACCAAGAAGAGATGCATAGCTTTTGATAGCTTCCATTCAATCCCCAACCAAAACTAGGTATTAGCTAAGATTTTATTACAGTACTTATTTTAACAGTTTATTATATTTTTTGTATAAATTAGTTTAAATACCTGCTTCTATGTAATCCGATAGTTGCAAGGTCACGCAACTAGTTTCAACTTCATGAAGAAGTCATCTTCAGGCATCCAGTGTATGTCAAAATCACTTCAGCAGAACGTGTCAAAATCACTTCAGCAGAAGGTCGTTGATACACATATTGTACATTTACACACAAACACGCAAACGAACGAACACATTACGTATAAAAGTTACATTTACAGTAACTATGAGACAAATAAAAATGGTAGCTTAGGGATGATGCGTCACGACCGGGTGGATGTAGTGTCTAGACTGCCGGTCAACGTGTTCGGTCGGCGCTGTGCTGTGACGTCACTCCTTTTCAAAATATCAAATAATACATACACCAATAATACATAACATACGATTTTCATAAAAAGGGTGGTTCCCACATAGGCAAAGCTTGTGCCTGAGGAATGAGTTAACAGCAAAAAGGATATCGACAGACATAACATTTTTGATATCAGTGAAGGCACATTTCAACACTGGTAAATACCAGGTTTTTATTTTCAGGTTAGGAAATACACTGCTGCTATTTGACAGTTTTCTCCAATTGAAATCAATAATAGTATTATCGGTTCTCTAACCAAACAATAGGCAATCAAATTCATAATCGGCGTTTAACTACCTTTGTTGTTTAGAAGAGTTGTTTTGCATTCAATTGATGGTCTGATTTCAGAGTAAGTTCACATCACTAATGTTAGCCTTCAAGACTGATAAGTTAACACTGGAGCGAAGAACGGAACTGCAAAGAAGACTGAGGGACCAAGCGGAACAGAATATGGCAGCGGAACTTGCCAAACTCAAGCTGGCTATACAGGTAAACTATACCAATGAATACAAAACCTATAAGAAGCGCAATGACTTTGTTAAAAATTCGGTCTGGGAAAATTTGGGTTTCGGATAGTAGACTGTCGCGAGTAAGTCAGCTGACTGAGTGAGAGATTGAGAGCCCAAGCGGCGGCCGTGCGAAGCTCATTTCGGCGGCAAAATTCCAGTCTGACTGTTCTCCATAAGCATTTCGCTTCTTAAAGGGTTTGTATTCATTGCTGAAACTCAATATGTCAGGTGTTCAAATGGATGGAACAGAAAGTTTACAGTGTTTTCAACTCACCTGTCTGCTAATCCATAGGTTAAGTGTTACAGGTATAGCGTTAAAAATGTATGCGATATATTCTGTAAGTAATGGTAGTTCTGCTATAATTTGCTTTCTTGCTAGAAGTTTTTCTCTTTAACTTTCTTCCCCCCCCCCCTTTCTTTGGAAATGAGCAATAAACACTCCCCTCTACATCCCCCGTCCAGACTAGCTGCGACTACTGTACACTGGGCGCTAGTGTTGACGAAATTTGGTTACTTTTATTTAAGTGCTTTACTGTTTGTTTGTGTAACTAGGGGACGAGGTTATCGTTTATAATTAGATCGTAATATTTGGTTAAACGAGGTTTTTAATGACTGAAATAACAAGAAACAAATTTTAAACAAAATTTGACCTCTGCAGTACACTGTACAGAGATAACAATAAAATTGTCTTCAGCTGTTCCATAAGGATGAGAAATCTACTAAAGGATTATGTTTCCCTATGGTTATTCAATCCATTTAGGGTCTCCCTGAACCCAAAAAGTGAGTGGTTTTTGAAGTTATGTTTGTGAGCCTTTGCAGATGTGTACAAAGCTACAGACCACACCTATGGTCTGATTTTGATGAAATTCAGTATGTGGGTACTAATCCATGGTATCTTTGGGTTTTTTCCATATTTTAGGAAATTTTAATTCTTAATAAAATCCCATAAAATAACGTAAAAGTTGGGTTTTTCAAAAAACGACCCGACTAATTTTAATTAAAACTTAGTATGTTATATTCCGTTTGGATCTAAACAAAATTATACAGCTAAAAAATTGCTGTAAAAAATAGGTTTCAAAAGTTATCGCAGCTTTGGTGATTTCCCCCATAAAATATCATAGTTACTCTCACCACTCAATGAAAAGGGTTGTTGACAAGCTGATTGGAGAAAGAATGAGTCAGATTTCTGATACCATTTATTATTCTATGTTGGGTCTGAAAATTATGCTTTTGCACAAATATAAGTACGGTTTACTCATATTTCCATTACTAATGAGTTGTTTTTCATCCCCAGATGTTGAGTCCTCTCTGCACGGACTCTGAGAAGATCGAACTATTGGAGAAAGTCAGTGAGCAGGCGGATGCCCTTCACAAGTCCACTACGAGGGTATCTACTTCAGCTGAGGTGGGTGTCCCTAATGAAATTGAAACTATCCCTAATTGAAATTTCTAAGATTAATTCAAACAGGAAAATAAATTATAGGATCAAAAAATAGAAAACTTTGAACTAACTATAAGTGGAAGTAAAGTCTTTCTTTCCTCTTATAAGGATGCCTAAAGTTGAAGGGAAAAGCCTTTAACATTAAAGTTTACATAGTGTTTTACTTTCAAGTAAAATAATGGAAAAAGGCTTCTTCCACAGCAAGTCAGTATGAATGTATATTGTATACCTAGTTAATTATATTTTTTCAGCCCCTTATGTGTAAGGGGAGAAAACATTTAGGAAGAATGGGGCATGAAGTTTAACAAGATTAAAGCTAATTTTAGAACGCAGCTGAACAACAAATGATTCATAAGGAAAATCCATAAAAGTTCTTTTAGCGAATTTCCCTATAGGGAAGTAGCTATTACCGTAGGTCTCATGGTAAGACCTAAGCCCGGGACCGATTTACTTTTTCATTTTGATGTCCCCAGAGGCCAAAAACACCATTCGTTCAAATTTTTATATATATATATGTGTGTCCATCCGCACGATAACTTGAGTAATTTTTGTCCGATTTTGATAAAATTTGGTTTGAAGGTGTAAAGCGGGATAAACTTGAATGAGTTCGCGAACCAGCATGATCGGACTATGGGAACGGGGGTTTATGGGGGGTTTTATGGGGTAAAAATAGGTTTTTCCCATTTTTGACCCTAAAAACACAAAATTTCACAATTTATTTTTAAACCATTTTGTAGAGCTTAAAAAAACAAATAATTTAGTATATTGAAGCGTTATTATGCGCCTAATTGTTACGGAGAAAATTCAAAGAAATTGTAATTTTAAAATTCCCATGTTATTCTTATGGAGAATAAGTCAACTGTTGTAGTTTGCTTGTTTATGAACATATTTTGATCAAATTTGGAAAATACATTAATTTCTTACTAAACCACAGTACCTTTTAATATTTTACATTAAAAAAAACTTTTTTACCCTCCCTGTTGCAGCAAACCTAAGTAGGTACTCATTAAACTAATTCTGTTAAAATAGGGAATAAATGTGATATTTTAAGGAGACATTTTAGTTTAAATCCAATCAGGCAGATGGAAATTCGCTAAGTCTGCAGGTTTGCTGCGGCGGGGGTATTTATATTTAATTGATAGATAAACCACAAACTTTCTAATAAGATCCAGGCCACTTATTGGATTCCTAAATTTGTACAAATACCCTTACATATTGTTATCACCTGTAAAATTAATAAATTATAGATTAACCATTTAATAAACAACACAAAAACTTTAACAAACACATTACCAGCTCAGAAAATAAAAACTTTAAGCCTATTACTCTGACGAGGGCAAGTTAAACAAGAATGGAATAAGGTCAAGTGATTTCACACCTGACTGTCTTCATTCTCTTCACTTGTATGGATATCGCCTACTGACAGTAAGCCGTAAGCCGCAGACGGTAGCCGTCCTACAATGCCGAGCAATTGTGATGCAAATCTCAACACCTTGGGTGTATTGTCAAACTGTCCGACTTATGAAATTTGCTATTCATTGGGAGGAATTTTAACCAGCTTAATTTTTGCTTGTCATAGTTTTGAATAGTTTTGTCCTGCAAATTAAGATTTATCTTTGCTGAACGACAATGTAACTTAGTTTGTCCAGACGTACGTGGCAGAATGATCTACAGCATGTAAATAATTTTTTGTAACACCTTCCTAGAGTGGGTGTACTGCATGGGAAAGTAATGAGTGTAGTATTTATAATGACATTTATAGACCCTCCTTCTGTTCTGTATGTAAATGTCACATTTAAACATGCTTAAATGCTTAATGAAAGGTGTAGAGGGAAATGTTTGGAGCACAATTTCTGATTCTGATTTCCTAGTTTTGTTTGGTATAGTGAGGAGGTGAACATATCAAAAGTCCCGCATGTAGCTTTTGAACCGTGGGTGAGGAGAGGGGGATTGATTGTAACATTTATTTTTCTTCAATCTTGGAAACCACAAGTCCTAGCAAAGTTTTCCCCTATACAAAATTTAAGCTTATTAAATTTACAAAAGATTGTTTCATTTTTTTCTATAACCTTTTTTGATACCTATCTTGTATAGTTTTCGTGTTCACCGTCAAAAGTTTAGAAATTTAGAAAAATAACATTCTTCCTCTTGTTTTTATTCTTTTTGACAAGATAACTCCTAAACTATGCACCAAAAAATAAATGCTACTTTACCTTCAGCGAGTGTCTAATGTATTCTACTGTAATAAATTGTAGGTATGTCTACCAGTATGCAAACTATATGCTTTGCTGTATTGCAGTTTTTATTAAGATTTAAAAGTCACTATACACTTAAACAAATATACAGTCTCTAGTGGTCACACTACAACATATGAAAACCCTGTTTAGATAAGCTAAATGCTGGAGTTTTTAATTTTGTGCAATATTTTATATCTTATTGATCTATGTTTGCAGATGTTTGGAGCTGTTCAACAAGAGAACCGGTTGTCCAAAGCTGTAGACATTGTGTTGCGGCATGTGGAGAACTTGAAACAAGCTTACGAGAAGGAGAGAACTGAACACGAGGAAACTAGGTGAACAGAATTGAAGAAATTAATTTTGACTTCCTTAAAGTACTGGTTTTGTCAATGATGAAAAGAAAAAAGAAAAATATCATGTTTGGGTACTTCATAGAGAAGTGAGGTTTAGAGGAAACTTGCTTATGGGACTTGCTTATGTTGTGCCGGAAAGATACTTTGTGGCCAGCAAGGAAGATCCCGAGCGGCGAGCACTGTGCGGAAATTCCTATCGCACAGGGCACAGGTTCTTCCTCCACCGTGAGCGTCGTGTTACATGAGAGCAAGGGGGGTTGGACACCACTTAAGTGTACAATTGAAACTTGATTTTTGAATTTTTACTTTGTACTTTACTTCTCTGGAGGTACTTTCTACTTGTTGAAGTGATAAAAATTTGGTTTAGTTGGGTCTTACTTGAGACGAAACAAAAGTTTTTGAATAGTTTAAGTTTGAAAATCAATATTACTTTTTACTAAATCATCCATTTTGTTTCATTTATTACTTTTGTTGCAGGAAAATCCTTTCGGACAACAAACTTCCATCGAATGCAGTTTTAAAGCTGGTAAGTGTCTTTCATAACTTGGTTTACAAATATGTGACACTGTGAATTTCCGTTGTTCTAAGTGTGTGTTGGTGTTTTAGCAAAACTCAAAACGCAGAGCGAGCATTGCGACCTTAACTCGCGCACAGACATCTCCTGACCCCAATCGCAGCCCTTCGATACCCGGGGTGAGTTTCCCTTCGCCCCTATCGCAGTAGAGCCCCAGTACGCTGTACGCCTTGTAGGCCGGTACGGCTGCATGGCTTAGTTGATATGTCAGCTTATAGATGTAACAAAAATGTAACTGCTACTAATTCTTGCCAAGTTGTTGTATAAAACAGGAACATTTTGGACGTGCTTCAGATTGAGGAATGACAGAATGACTTTGCTACCCCGTAAGATCCAACTATACTGTTCCTCGTGATTTTAGTAATAGTGAAGAGTGGTAACACTTAAATGGTTAAATGAAATAATAATTCAATTTATTCATAGTGAAATATTAGTTGTGCAAAAATCTAACATTATTTGACCCAAAAATTAAACTTGTAAATGATTGCTATAAGTAAAATGAGTCTAACTCGCAAGCAATGGAATTATTCCAAAATATGATCGTCATCAAGTAAGCACAGTGACGGATGTGAAAAGTTGCCCTTTAAAGGATAAGGGATGAAAAGATGAAACATTGCGTATTTAAATTAGCATTTTTCCATTAGTATTATTGCCCAAGGGAGTGTTAAGTCATGTTTCGTTGTTGTTGTTTTATAATTATTTTATGTGATCTTAGCTAAAATGCCAGATTACTTAACCCATTGACGATAACACCTTGGGTCTAGCTCGTCTACGCATTTCGATGTGAGATCGTCATACTGCTAAACCACTGGCCCTCAAGTAATAAATAGAATCTAACATACGAGCGCTGGTGTTGTGCGCTTGGCAATCAACCGTTCGGCCGACGGTGAAATGTTAGCTCAGTTGGCTAAGGTGTTGCACTGACGAGTGTAGCGTTGAGGTCTTTCTACATGTGCAGATTCGAATCCTGTTCATGTGCAATCAATGTTGAACTTACTAATGTGTGGCTTTGCTGGAGTGGAGTGCCACCTTAACCAAACGGTGTCCAGCTTGTGTGGAAGACTGCATTAGTGAGTTTAATAAGGATTGCTTAAATTGGTATAAAAGAGGACAGTGATTTTACATTTTTGGCTTTTATTTTGGTTAAAAATGGACATATCGCGTTGATATAGATATTTTATAATAGAAATAATAGGACACCTAAAAATAATAATTTAATCTTATAAAAAACTTTTGCAAAACTTAATAGCTGTCTTAATAGCCTGACCATACTACTGGAACAAATTACACGCGGTTGGTACCAAATGAAAAATATTTTCCTGTAGATGTGCAGAATCCCTTTATAAACTAAAATAGGCTAAAAAAGCACAAAATACTTGTTTAGTTTTTATTAATTAATTTTAAATAAAGGAGACATTTTTTAGTAACAGTAAAAGTTTCTATTCTCAAAAACATAACAACAACTTATTTGTAAACAGATGTAAGATAAACATGAAGAATCATATGTTATTTTAAAAGCATAGAATATTAAATATCTAAACATCTTCCCCTTTGACAAATTCAATTTTTCTTTTTCTTATGAAAAATGAGTTTCTTCTGAATTGTTTTCCATTTGTATATTGCACTACGTATGATCTCGGAGTTTCACCAACTTTTACTATGATAGCTGGCTCCCAGATCTTGGTCCGAACATCTTGTACATAAATGGGATCCTTTTCATTATATACTGTTTCTTGTTTTGTCGTCTTATCATAATAAGATTTTTGATTGATTCTTTTTGTCTGCATTTGATCTGCTACATCTTGATGAATTATCTTTGGCTCTAATCTGTGATTTGGAAGAGGTAATTTTGATCTTAATACCCTCCCCATTAGTAACTGAGCTGGAGAATAATCAAGTCCTGCAACAACACTGTTTCTGTAGTTAAGTAGGCTCAAATTTAGATCTGATCCTGATTCTGAGGACGTTTTTATAAGTTTTTTAGCAATACCTGCAGCTTTTTCTGCTAAGCCATTGGCTTGAGGATAGTTAGGACTTGTAGTTTGTATTTTAAAATTCCACTCCTTTGCGAACTCTCTTAGTTCGTAAGAATCAAAAGGCATGTTGTCAGCTATCATAATCTGTGGAATCCCAAATCTTCCAAATATTTGGACTAATGCATTCTTCACAGATAAACTGTTTTTACTATTCATTTTGACCACCTCTAACCATCTAGAGTAGAAGTCAACAAGTATCAAGTATATCTTCCCAGCACATTCAGCAATGTCTGCGGAAACTTTCAAGAATGGAACATTAGGTATTTCGTGGCAAATGAGAGTATCTTTGATGTTTGATCTTCTATATTTCTGACAAATATTACATCTGTCAACAATGTTCTTCAAAACTGCTCTTACTCCGGGCCAGTAATAGAAATTTGAGACAATTGAATTCATTTTCCTTTCCCCAAGATGGGTCTCATGCAGTCGGTTGATAATTATGGGTCTCAGTTTCTTCGGAATTATTATACGGTTTTTGAAATACAGTAAGCCATCATTCAACTCAATGTCAGATCTGATATTAAAATAATGTGCCAGATCTCCACCACAAGGCAATGATGTAGGCCATCCATTTACATAATACTTCACAACTTGTCCCAAAACGTCATCACTTGCAGTTTCTTTTTTGAACTCTTCAAGTCGTTCATCTGAAAAATTTACAATTCCTGTTTCGGTTACACAGTGTACCATATCTAGCATGGTGAGGTCAACTGGCTCATTTGTTTTTACGCCACATCGTGACAAGAAATCAGCTATATACATGTATTTTCCAGCCAAGTACTGTATTTTGAAATTGTAGGGCAATAACTTTAGCCTAAGTCTTTTTAATCTATTATTCTGTATTTTATTGATAGGTTTTTGCATTAGTGACACAAGGGGCATATGATCAGATTGAATAGTGATGTCTTCATGTCCGTATACATAAGCGTGTAGTTTTGAACAGGAGAAATATACTGCTAGCAATTCCTTCTCAACTTGGGCATAACCGACCTCAGCTGAGTTAAGAGACCTAGACGCCATGTAAACAGGTTTGTTGTTTTGTAGCAAACAGCACCCAAGAGCATCTTGAGACGCATCACACTGTATGATTATAGGAGCTGTCATATCAAAGGGAGCAATAATCTGGTCACTAGAGATTAGTTGTTTAATATTATCGATAGCTCTTGAGTGTAGAACAGTCCACTGCCAATGAACATTCTTCTTTAAGAGCTCCCTAAGTGGCGAAGTTATTTGTGATAAGTTAGGGATGAAAGACCGAAGGAAGTTTACCATACCCAATAAACTTTGCAGTTCTTTCTTATTAGAAGGGTTCTTTAGAGCTTTTATAACTTCAACTTTCTCTGGATCGGGACGCATACCATTTTTGCTAAAAATAACACCTAAATATTTAATTTCAGGTAGACAGTATTGGAACTTGTTTATATTGAATTTAATATTCAGACTTCTGGCCCGCTCTAGGACTTTCTTGAGTATTTCATCATTTTCTTCTTTAGAGTTAGAAGCTATGCATAAATCATCAAAGTAGACCGTTACTCCTGGAATATCCTCAAAATATCTTGCTACACACTTATGAAATAGTTCAGGCAAATTACTTAAACCAAATGGGCAACGTAAAAATCTATAAGTTCCATATATTGTGCTGAAGTTACAAAGTTGACTAGATTTTTCGTCTAGTTTGATGTGATAGAAGCCATCTTTTATATCTAAGATGCTATAAAATTGCTTATTACCCAATTTTGGAAATATCTCATCAATAGTGGGAATCGTGTATCTCTCTCTAACAATGTACTTATTCAAATTTTGTGGGTCAATGCATATTCTCAATGAGCCATCAGGTTTTTCAACTATCACTACATTTGACACCCATTCTACAGGCTCATTGACTTGTTCAATTATACCTCTATTTATGAGATCATCAAGCTTGTCTTTAAATTTTTTGGTGATTTTCAATGGGATACGCCTAGCTGAATTGGCTTGAGGTACCGCATTATTTGTCAACTTAATAGAACATTGGTCAGGAAAACAGCCCAAACCACTAAATACATCTTTGTAAATATCACATATGTTTTGTTTGCCATTACAAGCACTCGTATTCAAGTTTACTTTACCTAGGTCATCGATTCTTTGTATCAACCCTAATCTAGTGCATGCTTCAAGCCCTAAGATAGGTGTGGAACTGCCTTTTACTACAATACAATCTATTATATCTAATTTCTCATTCGTTTCTACTTGAACAGTAATCTCTCCCAAAGGTATTATCTTAAAGCCACCATATGCTTCTAGTCGTACCTTACTTTTTCTTAGTTTACATGATAAGCCAGAGTTCTTAATGATATCATAAGGTATTACATTTACCTCAGCACCCGTATCAAGTTTGAAATTGACACGTAAGGTATTGTCTATCAGTAAGTTTTTGAACCATACCTTTTGTTTGACGGCGTTTACCAAGTGTACAGAGTCAATCAATTCAGCCTCGTTTTCTTCAGCCTCTTGTTGTTTTTCATCAATATTATACAAAGGTTGAGGTTTGTCTTTGTTCTGCCTTGTTGCTGGAGCACGTTTCTTCAAACAGACGTTGCTGAAATGGTTTGGCTTCTTGCACCAATTACAAAATTTGCCTAATGCAGGACAGGTCTGGTTATAGTCGTGATTCCTTCCACATTTCCTACATTGGTGTTCGGAAATGTTATATGATTTTGGCTTTATCTGGTCAGTACTGAAAAAAGGAACCCGGTCGTTTTCTTTGTTTATAATCTTCAGATTATTTTCAGCAAGCTCAATACTCTTGCAATATTCAATAATTTTGTCTATTGATGCATCATCCCTTAACAACCGTTCCTGGGTTTCTCTGGAAAAAATGCCAAGTGCTATCTGTGCTTTCATTAGTTTAGACTCTTGATCTTTGAAATCACAAATCTTTGCACGATGCCTTAAGTTAGCTAGAAACTTGTCAAATGATTCTCCTTCAGATTGTCTGCATGTGACAAATTTGAAAACATCCATAATTTCATTCTTTTTTGGCAAACAATAATTTCCCAGAACATCCATGATGGATTCTATACTTTCATCAGTGACATCTGTGA